TCGTTTGAATGAAGGACCAAATTGCAAAAACCAAAAATAAGAGGGACTTGTAATTAAATTCTTTTGAATTTCAAAATTGGCCTCCATGGTAAAATTGTCTTGAATTTTTATATTATCATAAGAATGGAACATTATTCATATATCTCGTTGCTATCATAAAATTGTCACATAGACCAATTAGGTGAGCTCGTTAAAATACTCTTGAGGTCTGGCTATGGGTTAGCGCATGCTCGTATAGCTGAAACTGATAGAAAAGAAAGGAACATTAATGATATATCTCGTTACTATGATAAAATTGTCACATAGACCTACTAGGTGAGCTCGTTAAAATACTCATGAGGTCAGACTATGGGTTAGCGCATGCTCACGTAGCTGAAACAGATAGAAAAGAAAGAAATATTAATCATATATCTCGTTTACTATGATAGAATTGTCACATAAACCTACTAAGTGAGCTCGTTAAAATACTCTTGAGGTCTGAATATGGGTTAGTGCATGCGCTCACGTAGTTGAAATCGACAAAAAAAAAAAAAAAAAAAAAAAAAAAAAAAAAAAAAAAAAAAAAAAAAAAAAAGAACATTAATCANATATCTAGTTTACTAGGATAGAATTGTCACATAGACTTACTAGGTGAGCTCGTTAAAATACTTTTGATGTCTGACTATGGGTTAGTGTATGCTCACGTAGCTGAAATAATCTTTTAAACTAACTTAAAACAAGCTTGAACTAAAATTGAGAAAGGTGAGCCGAAGCTAAACAATGTGAACTGAATTGATTGGAGTTAGATGACTACAGTGAAGCCAACAAACCGAGAGTACTACCCGAGAGTCGACCCAGCCAATCATGTCAAACGAGCTGAATACGAGTTTGAGCTGAGTTGCATGGTCTAAGCTTGGGTTGTGTCTAGGTCTGGCTCATGAGTTGGGTAGAATGTTTGGGTTTAGACTGATTCATGGTTAGACATGAATCAAGTCTTAAGAAATCAACTGCAATCGGGTGCTGGCTCATGAGTTGGGTAGAATGTTTGGGTTTAGACTGATTCATGGTTAGACATGAATCAAGTCTTAAGAAATCAACTGCAATCGGGTGGGTGGTGAGATTGAGTGAATTTTGGCCACTCGTTTCGTCCTCGGGCCTTTGTTACGGGTGACCCATGTTGCTTCTGCGTCCATGGCTCATAAGTGCACGACCCAATACACGCAGTCCAGCCCGCAACATGTCAACCCAGTGCGGTTTGGCCCGAATGATGACCCGCCTCATTCCCACGTCGGCTCAGCTTGGCGATGCGATTGGCTCAGCTTGACGGCGCAATTGACTCGACCTTACGCCTGATTTTTGTCTCGGGTCGGTGGCTCGGCTTAAACAACTTAATATTTAAGGCTATTGAGGTCGGTAAAACTCTCCTTTACTTAATTAAAATAGATTTATGACTTATTGGAAATTATGATCATCTTTAGCTAGATTAAGACATTGGTATGCCATAAGTATGTGATATGGATTGATATAGGTGAGATTTAATGTCGAAGTATATTTCTCAGTACAGCTACAGAGTAATTAGTAACATCGGCCAAGCCCAACCGAGCAAGTGACTTTACTATTGGAGTTAGATGATTGATTGATGTATGATGGTGCATGCCTTGTGGTTCCTACATGTACCATATTATTTATGTGATGCTTATATGCTCTTTATATTGACATGTGATGTATACTATGTATGTTTGTGATATCCATTACTCTATGCTATGAATGAAATGAAATGTCGTGTTATGTATTGCCGTGGAAAGTTATGCAATGGATGTTAGAATATCATCACTAGTCCAGAGGGTCAAGCTAAACAATTGTATTAGTCAGTATATTTGGAAAATGATTTAGGTATTTTATGAATAAATATACCTAATTATTTTAGGAAAAAAATTTAGATATTTTAAAAAAGGTTGAGAAATTTTATGAATAAATTGTCGGTACTATAACTACCCTCCACTCTACCTAGATTTTTATCTCAACAAATACAAAGCAGTAGTACAAAGTGTCTTGTAATCTGTCGTTTGGTTTTAATAAAGTGTATATGTGTTTTCTACAGAGAGTTGTGTTCAACAATTGGTATCAGAGCGAAGTTGGTATAGGTTGTGATCTCTTGGAATTCTTAGTATGCTTTGTGGTTGCAGCTCTGTCTGATCTTTCACGTCATAAACGATTTTTTGAGATTACTAGTGAGTGAGTTTATTTTGTGTCGTGAGTAGTCTGTGATTCTACATGTCTTGTGTCGAAAGAGCTTGTTTGGTATTACTGAGGTATTGTCAATAAGATGGGTGATTTCCAAATCATTGGAGGAATCAAGAAACTTAACAACAACAACTACAACACGTGAGCAACATGCATGATGTCCAATTTACAAGGACATGATCTTTGAGAGATCGTTAGTTGGAGTGAAACTACGCCGCTAGAGGAGGATTCCAACGACGCCTTGCGCAAATGGAGAACCAAAGCAGGCAAATCAATGTTTGCCTTGAAGACCAAAACCGGAGAAGAGATGTTAGAGCACATTTGGAATGACAAGACACTGAAAGAAACATGGGACACGTTCGTGATGATGTTCTCAAAGAAAACGATACAAGGCTACAACTTCTGGAGAACGAGTTGTTGTCAATTTCACAACGTGACATGACGATTGCTCAGTACTTCCACAAGGTCAAGTCGATCTGCCGGGAGATTACTGAACTAGACCCGAAGTCTGCCATTGGAGAATCTCGAAGAGAATCATTATCCACAGATTGTGACCAGAATATAGAAACTTAGTTATTTCTGTACAAGGATGGCCAGCTGAACATCACTTATAAATTTGAAAATTTTTTAGCCAATCAAGAAGTCATGGCTAAACAAATGGGAGGAATCACATTTAAAGGTGAAGAAGAAGCACTCTACACAATGAAAGTCGGAGCCATAATAAGTCGTCTACAAAACGTGAATACAAAAATGGTGACCAAGGAAGAAACCACCAAGGAACTACACAACCAAGGAGAGCCAGAAGAGTGATAACAATAACTCTCAAGGAAAGAGAAACTTTATAGTGTCATGTGCCTCATGAACACCCTCATCATCATACTGTGCGCATTTGCACTCATCATCATATTGTGCACGCCTGCACTCATCATCTCTAGGAGAAGTAGCCATATAAGTTCATCATAATATCTCTTCTGACACAATCCTCTAGTTTCATCTCTTTGTTGCTCTAGGTAACACATCCTCGTTGATATTTATATTAATATCATTTTCATGCTCTTAGAGTTGTGTCCTAGGTCGATCTAACGACATGATACAGTATAACAATCATCATCATATAACATGCTTGATATAAAAAACATCATGTAACATCATACTCATCTATAAGCCATCAAGTGAATCAAACATAATATGTATGTCATGCATCAAAACATAAATCACAATATATAACATGCATCACAGTTCAAGCATCATACTCATACATCATCATGCTCGTAAATAAAACTGTAACGCAAATAATTCTAGTCTATCCTATAGTAAGGCCACTTACTTGGTTAGCCTTGGCCGAAGTACTCCCTAACTAGCTAAACGTAAGCTCCTGTTCCTCAAGAGCTAATCCAAAGATCGCCAAAGTATGTTTCCTATCACACCGTTCACCACCTCCCGTTAGTATTTCACAATTAAATTAATAATAATTTAATAAATGTGAAATAATGCTCTAAAAATGGCCTTGATTACCTTAACCGGGGGCCGAAGACAGGTCTGGAAGGGTCGGTGGAAATCGGGTTAAAAATTGAGAAGCCGAGCCGAACAGCCGCTGGGAGCCATCGAAGCGTCGCCGGAGGGAGTCAGAGCCGTTTGAGCCAAGCCGAGCTGAGGGACCGCCTGCGTAGCTGTGTGCCATGTGGCAGTAGCAGAATGTGCCACATAGTGCGGGTGGCACTGGGTTGAGGCGCAGGTGCGGGCCAGGTCGTTGGCTGCAGAAGGCTATTGGACCAAATTGATCTTTGGGCCTCAACTTACTGGGTTGGGCCGCAGGTGCTTGGCTGCAGGGCAGTTCGGTTGGACCGTGGGTCTGGTCTCGGATTGGTTGAGCTGAACCGTGGCTACTGGGCTAGATTGGGTTTTGGGTTGGAGAGTGGGCGCAGGTCGCATCTGCGGGCTGGATTAGTGTAGGGCGCTGGACATGAGCCTCGAGTTTGCAGTAGATGCGGGTTAGGCCTAGGGTGGTTTGGCCCTCGAGTATTTTTTTTTTTTAATTGGTTACAAACTAGGTTGGAAATTACTTAACTACTAGGTTTTCAAACTCATAAATTATATTTTTTACAATTTAGTTTTTTATATTTTTTAAGTATTATATTTAGTTGAGCACGATTGACACATATATATCCAATGTTTTGGAGGGAATATTATTAAAAAACATAAAATTTTATATTAATTTAATTTTTAATAAAAATATTATTAAAATTTACACTTCATCTAAAAAAAATATTCTAAATTTTCAAAAATATCTTTATTATTAATTTTGGATAAAATGATTTGTTAATTATAACTTTTTTTTTATTTGTATAGATTTCAAAAATGCCTTTAAATTTTTTAACAAAAATTTAAAAAACGTCTTAATTTTTTTTTAAAAAATATTTACTGTTAATACCTCGTTTAAAAAATATTTAAACTTTTGAAAGTCACATCAAAACGTTTGTAGATAATTTATGAGATGTCAATAGACGGTTTCATCTATGTAATGGCTGTAAGAACTTTTTTAACTATATTTTTATAAAGGTAAAGGATAATGAATGATATTTTTGAGATTTTAAAAAAAAATTAAAAGGTGTCAATAAATAATTTTAAATTTTAGAAAGGATTTAAACAAAATATAAGCCCTCTTCATTTAAAAGTTTATGAATATTTTTAAATTAAAGTTGAAAATTGTGAATTATTTTTTTTATTTTTAATTATTTTTATTTGGAAGGAGATATATCAATTGAATCGCTCCAAAAAATTGAAAACAAATTTCCATTTTGTTGTCCCTCCCGCGTACCTTATCCTTTTCATGCTCCCTCTTCAATAAACAGATCTCTCTCCCATGGCGAAACACGAGACAAACGAAGGCAAAGCCGCATTGGTATGGCGGAATATCCCGACCCTCAGAGCCTCTCTTCAATCTACGCCTGATTTCTCCGATGGATTATGGAGCAATAACGCTCAGCTCTCCCGTATGCCGGTGGCCGATTGCCGTCGCCTTCGATGCAAATTTGCGTGCGTTTCGGTTGTGGAAAAGAGAGACCAACACGAGTTCGCTCCGTCTCTGTCTCAGCTACTCACGCATCCACAGGCTTTACTTGGTTTGGTGCCCGACAAGGCCGCGGTCTTTACTGCAGCCGCCATCGCCGGTGCTTCTGCGAAGACCATGACGGCTCCTCTCGACCGCATCAAGCTTCTTATGCAGGTTTGTTATGAACTTTTTTCATGTTTTTTTTGCGGTTATCTTCGAGGCTAATGGCGTCGTTGTTTTCTGTTTTTGTTTAGTTCATCTTTTTGCTCGTTCTTGAATAAGGTTAGTCTCATATTAACACCGTCAATTGTATCCTGTACGCCTTTTTTTCTTTTAATTCCAGAGCCTGTTTGACCTGATTATCGAATTGCCTCTTGCATGACGAAAGGGAACTGCTAGTTTTCTACTGTCTTGCAAAATTGACCAATTCGAAACTATTTGCTTTCGTTGAGTTCATTCGTGTGGAACATAATTTTATTTGAGTTGGGGTTACATAGAGTCAAATGTTTGAGGTCTTAGAATCTTAATATGTGGGCTACTAATGCGTAGTGAGATAAGAATAGCATGGGTAACTTGAACATAGAACCTCGTGCTATCATTTTATATTAAATTTTCACTTGATAGTTCGATTTTTTTTTTTCTTTTTTCTCACTTGCAGACTCATGGTGTTCGAGTAGCGCAAGAAGGCACTAAGAAAGCAATTGGTTTCATCGAGGTATGGCTAAGGATGGTTGTTGTTTATAGCTTTGGAGGCAGAGTTTCTCACACGTTATTGATCCTCTTGCGTTGCCCCATAAGCTGTTGTAGACTTGTAGCATTATAACGTGACGATACTTGTGGGATTGCTAGAATTTATGGCTTAATACTTTCAAATAGCCAAGCCTAATGTTGTCTGGGAGCACCTCGAGCTAAAACGTAGCAAGTAGATGATGAACATTAGGAATAATTTAGGGTGTCATGTAGTTAGTTGGAAAATGAAGATCTTTTTGCCAATTTGCATGTTGAAATGCGTGGATTATTGCCACTTGGTATTGCCAATTTGCAGTGACGAAACTCATTTAGGACCATTGTCCTATTCTTATCTCCTAAAGTGAGCATGGAAGACCCCTTTTCAATCCTAGTTAAATTGACTCTTGTGACGTTTGTTTTAGAGGATTGCAACATCTTAATCAGTGGGCTTGGAACATATTTGATCCAAATTCTGGCAATTGAAAGAGTAAGAATGGATAAACCAGTGGCATAGGTAGGGCATTCACGGCTGAGAATGGGGAAGAGGCACACTCTCAAATTTATTCTAAATTTCCAATTACAAATTGATAGTAACGACAGAGAATTTTGATAAGATTGGTAGTCTACAACAAAAAAAAAAAAAAAAAAAAAACACACTAATTTCGGAGTTATGTTGTCCACTAGGTTCATATGTTATCTTCTATCATTATGAAAAAATCCTCATGTTTGCATGGTTTGTCCTAACTTACGTTTAACTGCAGGCTATAACAGCTATAGGTCAGAATGAAGGAGTTAAAGGTTACTGGAAAGGCAACCTCCCTCAGGTATTTGTTCTAAAATTACCTGCTGGTTCTTGGTGGTGTTAAATTTGACTTTCTTCTGCTGTACTGATGAAGATATTGAGTTATGATTTCGTCATAGTTCCTTTTCGAATATTTCAGGTCATACGAGTTATACCTTATAGTGCTGTCCAGCTTTTTTCTTATGAAATGTACAAGGTATGTCCACTACAAGGAAGCTTTAAATGTGGCATAACACCCACTTCGTTACATTTGGTTCTTATGCGCTTTCTAATTTCTGAACTGACAGAAACTCTTTAAGGGGGAAGATGATGAGCTATCTGTGCGTGGAAGACTTGCTGCAGGTGCTTGTGCTGGCATGACATCTACTTTTGTAAGAAATGCCCCACAATTATGCTCTGCTTTTGTATTTTCGGACATCAGTAATATCCTGGACGTTGATATCCATGCATTCCAAAAAAAATCAATGCCTATGTTCTGGTAATACATATAAAATGAAGGGAAAATCAATTTATACTCCTAAATTTTGCATGTTGAACAATTAAAATTCTAAACTACTGAATATAATTGTATCCATTAAATCCTTAAAATTAGATTTATCATTTTTTTATTGATAAAAAAATATACTATTTATAACTATTTTCACTTGATTCCATTTAAAATTAACTCAAAAAATGCCTAAATAAAAATATTTTCCCCCCAAAATCCTATGATGGTAGGAAGAAGAGTTAACATGTATTTCTTCCTAAATAAGTAGAGAAAAAAAGAGAAGATGAAAAATTGCTCATATTAATAAAAACCGCTACTACCAATTTGGATAACATTTTCCTCTGATATTATGTTAATCTTTGTCAAAAGTTTACACACAATGAGATTAGCATTGATAGTTTTAAAATGAAATGAAATCGTAATAAACGGTCTAAAATTAATTAACTTATGGAAGTTTAGGGTTTTAATTGATATAATTATTAGATAAGAATTTTAATTAATTCAACCTACGGAGTTAAAAATAGATTTATTTATCTTCTCCATTTTATTATCTCATTCATTGTGATATATCATTACAATTTTTCTAGATGGTGCTATTTGTTTTCTTGTAGATTACATACCCACTAGATGTACTAAGATTAAGGTTGGCAGTTGAACCAGGTTATCGAACTATGTCTGAGGTATTATTAACTAGCCTGTTCCAATTATTAGAGTTAAATTCCATATCAAGATGAAAACTGTATCATTTTCAGGTTGCCTTGAATATGCTAAAAGAGGAAGGCATTGCATCATTCTACTATGGTCTTGGACCTTCACTTATTAGCATAGCTCCTTACATTGCTGTAAACTTCTGCATGTTTGACTTGTGAGTTCATCGGAGCTCCCTATGTACCATTGCATGGAATTTAGACCTGATATAAATAGTTCTTTTTTTTTTTCTTTTTTTTCTTTTTACATACAGATTGAAGAAATCTTTACCTGAGAATGTTCAAAAGAGACCTCAAACATCTCTACTAAGTGCCTTGATATCAGCTTCCTGTGCTACACTAACGTGTTATCCTTTGGACACTGTGAGAAGACAGATGCAAATGAGGGGCACACCCTACAAGACAGTTTTGGAAGCGCTCTCAGGTAATGGAATGGGCATTAGTTAAACGGAAGGCAGGAATAAAACTTATCTTTTAAAGCTTTGCATAGACATTGATTTGTTAATATAAAGAGTTGAAATTTGGTGGAAAGAATCATCTTGGTTGACATCTCTGATGCAGGTATCATTGAACAAGATGGAGTCGTTGGCTTGTACAGGGGTTTTGTTGCAAATGCTTTGAAAACCCTTCCAGCCAGTAGGTTGGCATTCTCTCCTATTGTTTACTTATAAATGCTTCCACCGCTCCATATAAGGATGTTTATACCTAGTATGCATTTTATTGTTTCCCTTGAATTGAACATGCAGTATGCACTCACAATGAATTTTTGCCATGAATTTTAAACTTCTATTTTCTTCGTGATTTTGATATTTGAAAGTCCAGAGTATTTATTTGATATTGTTTTTTGTTTCTGAGAATGGGAAGTCCATGTTATGAGGATTTAATCTGTTGAATGACATAATTTCTATTAAGGGATAATGGTTCCATGATGTATAATCCACCACTGATCTGCTCCATGCCAAAGTCAGGCATGGATCTAGGGGCCTTGTTTTTAAAGCTTGCTTGTAGCCCATTTGAACGGAGGTTTTGAGAACTGATTGCCATTGATGATCAATATTAACATGATGTCCTCTCCTTTTCTTTCTTTCTTTCTTCTTTATTATTACTATTATTAATAATTTTTTGGGAGTGATTAAGCTTTTTTACTGGCGTTACCATCACATGCAGCTATGAGCTAGTAAACCTTACTTCCCTTGATGGTCATATACACCTATGCAACTTGATTGAATTAATTTCTCGTTTGTAATTGTCCGTCTGATGAAAGTGCTTTTTTGGAACAAATTATTCTGGTCGTTTGATTTCTTTTAAGCGTGAAGCTTTCTGTATGTACTGTCCAAGATATTGATTCTTTACTTCATTTCTTATGCTGCAGCATCAGGCTTACGGTGTTCGACTATCTCAAGGGTCTCGTAGCTATCAGTAAAAAGGAGTTCGAGCAAATAGTTGAAGATAATCGCGAGAAGAAAGCCCAAACAAGTAGTTGAACGATCCTGAAGTTTGTCTCATTTTAGTGTCTGTAGTCGTTGTTTACTGCATATCCAATTTTGGGAGTGAAATGCGTCTCTATGAAAAGCTAATATTTTTGGTGTATGCTAAAGGATTAGGCTAGAAATTTTTGAGATACTAGTATTTGTTCTTGAGCTGTGTTCTTTAATTGTATACTTATTTTAGTTAAGTTAGTTTCCCAACTTTGGCCTGCCTTCCAACACATGGTTTAGTTTTAGATGATAAAGTACATCATGTTCTACTAAGCATTCATTTCTGCATCTATGAGATGAAATTTGAGAAGCTGGAAATCCTATTCTCTAAGAACTTTTCAAAGGCCTGATCTTTTCTTTTGACTGCTGGAGTCTGAGAAACTCGTGGCTTTCGACTTAGACCGACCTATTCTCGAGTTGATTATAATTTTAAACGGAAATGTTTGGAATAGCAAATTCAGTGTTGCCTTGTGTTGAAGTTCCATACTTGAGGCTATGTGCACAGATATAATCCTAAAAGGAAGGAGTTTGTGGTGTTAAATCACTTCTACAATGCAGGAAATCATGTTTCTTGCCATTGTTTTTCTAAAGAATGTGTGGTTTTGGGTTCTTTATGCAGGTGCAAAGTCAATTGGGAGAGCCATGTTGAATAGTCATTTACCTTAGGGCTATAAACCAACTTGTTTAAAGCATCTAGGGTCGGTTTGGTTTAATTTGAACTTTTTTTTTTAATAAAAGTGACCACCACCTATTGCCCTAGTAGCCCATCTCCGCCAGCGACCACTTCAACAACCACCGTTGAATATAGCGGGTTAGTCCATAACAGCTCAAATTCACCATTAGCAAATATTGTTCTCTTTGAGTTTTTTCTTTCAGATTTCCCTTCAAGATGCATAGGCTAGAGAGAGGTTTCCACACCCTTAACAAGAATGTTTTGTTTCGTTCTCTAATCGATATGGAATTTCACAATTCATCCCCTTTGTTTGTTCTCTATTCCGGTGTCTGGCTTTGAGTAGACATAGTATAAGTGTTTTTTTTTTTTTTTTTTTTTTTTTTTTTTTTTTTTTTTTTTTTTTTTTTTTTTTTTTTTTTTTTTTTTTTTTTTTTGTTTTTTTTTTTTTTTTTTTT